CCATAACTTATTTACTTACAGTATTTAGTTTCCACTTTCGAGTTATAGTCAATTTTTATTTCACTTCCGGTAACACCAGAAGTGAAGGTCAAGTGGTTTTCTGCCAGGGAATAAGAATTGTTGCCCGAGGCATCATTTACAACCTCACGTAAAAACAAACACGACACTCTATATACAATGTAGTTCCAAAGATATAGCTGAAACTATTTTCACAAATTTGGCCTTTAAATTGCCTGTAATATGATACTTGAAGACGTTGTGAGGACAGATTTTTGTTATGCCCCGCGGCGAAGCCGAAGGGGCATACTGTTTCTGCCTTGTCCTTCCGTGTGTTGGTGGGTGGGTGGGTGTGTCCGGACAAATCTTGTCAGCGTGATAACTTGAGAAACACTTAACATATGAACTTCGAATTTTGTTTGTAAATTGTTCTTGGTAATCCTAAGAAGCCTATTGCATTTGGGGCCAAAAGGTCAAGGGTCAAGGTCACAGTGGCTAAAATGAAAGAAATTTTGTGAGCGCGATAACTCGAGGAATACTTTACATATGAACTTCAGATTTGGTTTGTGGATTGTTCTTGGTAATCCTAAGAAGCCTATTGCAGTTGGGGCCGGAAAGGTCAAGGGTCAAGGTCACAGTGGCTAAAACAAAAGAAATTTTGTCAGCGCGATAACTTGACAATGCTTGAGAAATACTTTACATGTGAACAAATTTGGTTTGTGGATAAAATTGCTCTTGGTAATCCTAAGAAGCCTATTGCATTTGGGGCCGAAAAGTCGAGGGTCAAGGTCACAGTGGCTAAAACTAGAAATATTGTATTTATTCTGAGATCACAGGGATTAATTCATATAAAACCTACATAAAACACTAATGACGTCAATGAATGTTCCATGTGACCCAAGTACATGTACATGTGAGTTGATGTTTAAAGAGTTGTGTTTTGTCATGGGAACAGTTGTGGGGCATTTGTGTTTGTAAACACAACTGACTTGTTTTTAACATCTTCGGAAGGGGGTTCAAGTTCATAACAGGTTTTATTATAATCCCGTAAATTGTTCGGAAGAAATTTGGTTCCTATTGATTTAAAGGCTTCTGTCTGTATTTTAAATTCACCTAACTTTGACCTTCCGGTTGACCTGGAAGTAAAGATCAAGTGAGTTCACGTACATCATCCAATTAACCCTTACCGAACTCAACCCATCCAAGGTCAACAGCAGGTTTTGTTTAAATCTGTTGGGATAGGTACAGTACCCCTGAACAGATGGTCTTTGGGTTTGGCGTACCTCCAGAAACTAAGTCCAACAGTGTGTGTGTACGATTTCTCATGTGGGTGTTGGAATATGCCTGAATGGGTACGGTTCCTAGTAAATATGCTGGGGAGTTAGTATAGAGTTAATGGTCTATCTAATTACAACATATGAACATGATTGATTATTTTGCTTGAGAGTTTTAAGTGAAAGAAGATCATCATTTTTCAACAAAAATCGCTTGTAATTCGACACCCTAAGACGTCATCATGAGTGAGGGTCGATATACGTTGAAATTTACAAGTTCAATACCATACGCCGTTTAGGAGAAAACCTGCAATGGAGAAGTATTGTCCGGGGAAAAGAAAGAAAGAAAGAAAGAACCAAACAAAAAAGATTTATCAGAACAATTCTAGACAGTGGTCGGATTGTGACTGACCACTCGACTAAGGTTTTATAATTTAAAAAATTGTGTTTAGTTTTACTGTTAGAAAGCAACACCCAATAACTGGGAATAAGCAGGTAGATGCACAAACAGGACAGATTTAGATAAACATTAGAGGTTTGTGTTTGCTGTTACAAACGCAGAGTGGTCGGGTAGACAACCATTTCATTAGACATTGTCCAGTAAATTTATGAATATGTTTATGTCAGAAAAAAGGATCAAGAACTTTAACATTTTCAGTACCAATTATTTTGTACAAAAAAAATGCGTCTTTTAGGGTATGATAAATTTCAGTATTAAACATTTAGGTACACGTACAAGTTTTTTCCGGTTTGATGTCGTCATCAGTCAAAAAAGGGAAGGGAGGACACTTGTTTATCGTTAAGTAAAAATAACGCATGGAAATACGAAAATTAAGTGTATGTTATTATAACAGCCAACTTCCGGTTTGATGACGTCACAGTATTTGGAAGCAAGGTCAATATTAAATGTAACAGATGTCATTTTGGGGGGCAAAAAACAAAGTCATGAGACAGGGATCAAATGATGGATTTAAATTAAAAATAGAATGATCATTGTTGAATTTTCCCTACAGTAACTTCCGTCATGATTATGAAACCTTGCAAATGCATCTGTGGTTGGTCACAGCGGGATATATAGGGGCAATTTCATAAAAATTTGATTGAGTGTCTTAACATTTTAAAAGATGTTTTCGATGTGCTGCTAGAGGGCGCCCTTTTGTGGGATGACGTCAAAATTATGTTTTTGTGATTGACATTCCTCACTTGACACTTCTATAATGTATTTGTCTGTAGTAAAATGCTTCCGTTTTAGAGTTAGATTCAATTTCTATTGCACTTCCTGTAACACACAAAGTAAAGGTCAAGCAGTTTTTGTGACCGGGAATAAGAAATATTGCTCAAGGCACTGTCTACAACCTCACGAAAAAATGAACACGATACTCTATTTAGTTCAAGAGATATAGGTCAAACTATTTTGTCAAATCATGCCATCAAATCGCTTGTAATTTGATACCTGATGACGTCATGATGACGTAACAACATTTATAATACCTTCGTAACATGGTACAAGTTCACACTAGGTTTTATCACGGATCCTACACACAAGGATTAACGACTCGGCCCAACTCCTGGTTAGACGTGTGATAACGGCCTGTACTGGTGGCAAATACCATAAATACTTTTCAACAAAGACCATTGCGCGCGGTGGCTTTCAGATTTGCAAGGCTCTTTGCCCGATCTGGCCTCGAAGTCTGTCAAGCCAGCGAATTATATTTTTTAATATTCACGAGTCTAAGTTTTTGGTCTTTATTACTGAATTCTGATAAGTGATAACTACATAACCATGGTAATGCCGAGCACAGTATCTTTAGCTTTAAGATGAACAATGAAATGTGGCTTTTGTTTCATCGGTTCGGCATCCTATCTCTCTAAAACTTTTTAATAAAAGCCTAATTAAAAACGAAACTTGGGTATTAAAACTGTGTTCTCCTCGAAATTTGACGTTTATTTCCTGGGTAAATACTTCATCTATGACGACAAAGACTGCACAATACCATCTGTTATATCCTGAAGTATTTATTGTTTAAATAATTTGGAACAATTATTTCTTAAATGAGAAGTAGTTTTACTTAGTTTTATGAATATTTCTGTTTTAGATGTTGTGCAAAAACCCAACACAATGGCACATCTGGAAAATTCGCGATTACGCGCCAACGGGTATTAATGCCCGTTATAACGCGTCTAACCAACTAAGGCAAGTGCACTGAGTGCATTTTGTACTAGAGCTCAGAACAGTCGTTTATCCTGGTGTCTAGGATCCATGGTTTTATGATCAAGTAAGCTGTTCGAAAAACATTATGTTCGTTTTGATTTCATGCTATTGTCTTCATTTTGAATTCACCTAACTTTGACCTTCCGGTAGAACCAGAAGTAAAGGTCAAGCGAGTTCACGTACATGACAAAAAAGGTTCTTCAACTAATGGTCTATCAGATTACAAGGTTGGAACATAATTTATCATTTTGTTCAAGAGTTATAGATAAAAGAATCATCATTTTTGTAACGAAACTCGCTTATGTTTTGACACCCGATGACGTCATAATGAGTCAGAGTAATGCACCACTTAGGATGAGGGTCGATATATATTGAAAGTTACATATCATATGAAAGTTATTACACATATGAAAGTTCCTATCATAAACCGAATAGGAGATAACCCCGGAAATATGCTGTACTGAAAAGAAAAGAAAAAAAAAGACTAATCGTAACAACTCCAAAGAGTGGTCAGGTTGTGCCCGACCACTCAATAATGGTATCTGTGTCAACAAATTTCATTCTCTTCAACATGAAAATGACACAACATTTAACTAGGAAAATCCAAAGTGACACAAGGTTTTATTTCAGTCATCATCACACAAAGAAAGACTTAAGTTAAAAGGGATGGGCATATCACGCACATCCTATTGGCTCTTCCCCCACCTCCACAGCACCCTATTTATAGAAAATAATTATTTCAAATATTATTGCTTAAAACCCAAGGTACCATTTGATAAAGATTCTAGCTCCCAAAATGTTATTATTTTTTACGGAAGTAATGTTTTCAGCATTTTTGGCCAACATGCAAATATGAAATGCATTGTATTCCCAATGATATAACACTTGGCTCCTGTCAAACCACATTCCATATAGATGACTTGCCAATTTACCAAAGCACCTGCCTTAAAGGGAATGTACATCATTGGCTTTTGCTGTAATTTTCAGAAATGAACTATTTGAGGGGTTAGTATAATAGATCAAATATTGTTACACTGACATTTTTGAAGTTTTGTGTTCGAAAAGGTTGGAAAAACCAAGAAAAACAAAAACGTTCAAGTAGTCTGGTTCCCCGACTCCACAAAAGATAAAATGGATCAATTTATAGATGATGGAAAATTGTAAGGCAAGGGAACCAGTCTAGCTGGCCTGCACCCGTTCATGAACATGTAACCAATAGCAAACAAAATTTGGACTGAAAAAATGGTAAATTTGGAGCAGTAGTTGAAAAATAGTTAGGTTTTTCCAACACTGGTCGGCCGACCACCGTTGGGAATGTATACAAAAATACCATTTTCTTGAAAATGACTTCACACCAGGTGCCATAATTTTACAAGATGCTTGAGACTTTCATTTACCAAACATCCTAGTAAGGTATTTCGTAAAAACTTGGTAGTTTTATTTTTCGATGTTTGCAAATGTTGTAACTTCAAATGGAATACCCAAACTGATTTTGTGTATAAATCTTTTAATCGTTAACTGTATTTTTTTTACGACAGCTGAAGCATTGTAATACACTGGGTCTGTGAACTCAGAATTGTAATCAAGGCGATATTTCAACAAGGTGGTTCTCAAACCACGCGTCTCGCATGTTTTATTTTTTATTTTTTTGAAAGAGTGACTAATCAGGGCCAGACTGCTTGGTGTGCATTGTAGAGTGGCAATGACAAGGGGTAGTATGAGAATGACAGGGTCGTGGCTGATCAGTAGAGCAATGAGGGTGGAATGGTATGAACTGCTAATAATTATAGAAACATTACACTGAATAAGCCTCTGTACTAATAACATCACGCTTTGTTTACATGTCCATTTTCCCATGGTGCTCGGTGGACTGTGGGCCCCCACTGGCTCCATAAGAAAGTGCACATGTAAACAAAGTATGACGTCATTAGTATAGAGGATTATTGCAGCACGAAGTGAATACTCAACAGTCATGCATTTAAACTTGGAGGATGTGGTCTGTAATAGTAAAACTGAACTTGGTATGTGACCTTTGACATCATCATATGAAGGTTGCCATGTTGCATCTACAACTCAAGATTGGTTCCTATTGGACTTTAACTTTTCAAAGAGAAATTTTACATTTTCAGCCTATTTTACAGCTTGACCTCAGATGACCTTTGGCCTTGGTATGTGACCTTTTACATCATTATCATATGAAGGTTGCCGTGTTGCATCTATGACCTGAATTTGGTTGCAATTGGACTCCAACTTTTCATATGGCACAAATTTTTTGAAACTTTAAACCAAAATACCACATACATATGGACGTTCCAGTGGATGGAAGTTCTAGGGTAGGAGCATTGTTGTCCTTTTATCTCTTTAAAAAAAAAAACATTTTACTAGTGGGGTACCGTTTCCTTTGTTCGAGTACCCCACAAGTAAATTGGGCTAAAAAATAAGGCGAACCTAACGTGGAGGACTTCAACAACTTCAAGGAAAACCCCAACATAAAAGATTTGCTTACAATAATTGTCAAAATCAAAACGTTTTACCAATAATTTTGGGAATTTCCTTGAACTTACTCAAGTCTCCCACATTAGGCAACCCTTCACCTACATGTACTTTTTAGCCCAATTTAAGGACACCTCGTTTTTTCCCCCTGTTTTACACGACAAGTATTAAAGATTTATGCAAATTGGGCCTATTTCCACTAAAAAAATCCAGCTTGGCTTCCATCATTTTTGGATTTATCAGCCCCAAATTAGTTAAAATACCTATGTTACCAACTTCTACTCAAGAATGCCTCTTCAGATAACATTTTTTTAAATATCACCTAGACTATTGTGTATATCCAAATATACCTCTCCTGTCTGGTTTTCTGGACTAAGAGGCAACTTGAGTGTTTGGAGAAATTGCAAAAGAAGGCTTTCCGCACCATTCTTACCCCTTAAGGATTCCTTAAGAATGATAAATTCTGATACATCACATCATTTAGGGCGTAAATCGCTCGCTTCTTAAAAGTGGAGGGGGGGGGGAAACATACCTTGATCAGAACTGATGCATGTGCGAAGCCTCAACAGCATGGGGTTGGGGGCTGCTTTAAGTGCCTCGAAAAAGTTTGGATTCCAGACTGAATATTTTGCTCTACAGCAAGGTGCTAGAGGCGAAAAAATCAAGGAATTATTGCAAAACACATTGTTGGCACACACTTGATGCACCCTTACTGTACACCCGTGAGTTTACTGCAGGAGCGCAGCGCTAAACATAATCTCATTACAAGGCTATTGGCTGGCCTTGGTGAGAACAAGTCAACGTGGACCCGCACCCGAGACAAAGGAGTCAAGTAAAATGCATAGGAGTGTCACAATTCAAAAAACTGTCTTTAGGAAAACGACATTTAAATCATATTGTTACTTCTTATGACTTAAAGACTAAAAAAACTTACAAAAATAAAAAGTATGGATAACAGAACGATTGTCTCTTGTGATATAGTCCATGGGTTTTGTACTTGGCTCAGTGCCATTTATGATCATCAAGCACAAAGAAGGCCATGGACTACATCACAGCAGACAAAAAAATGATTGTACAATGAAGAATCAATTGGTCAAGGACAAGGTATCAGCACAGATACTGTAATGATATTCATCTTCTACCCTGTAAGTCAGCCTTCTTTATAAACTTCTCACAGTTGAAACAGCCACCAATAGTCCAGCACTCAAACTCCTATCTGGTAGACCTCGGTTACTCCCCCTTTCAAGGAGTCAGTCTTGGGGTTGTTGTATACCTCCCCCTCATCATCACTGCTGTCACAGGCCACCACAGGTCTTGGGGACAGGCTAGCCTCGGTGCTCCCTGAGGCCTGCTTCAGGGAATCCCTCCAGGGAGCCTTGCCTGTGACAGAAGATGTGACTTGTTTCCTGTGACAGCTTGACTCCAAACTGGGCCTGGTGTTTTCCTTCACAAACTGGTAAGTTGAGTAACTCGAGGACCACTTGAACTGTGCAGTGTAGGGAAGAAGTTAAAAATAATCTTTATAATTCCTAAACTTGACATTATTTTTTTTCAAAGAACACACGTAATACTTGTGGAATCTGCCTCTGACATTTTACTGTGGAGGGCCACACCAGCATGCAGCCAAGGGTCACACCCAAGCAGCTCATTCAAGCATTCCAAAGCCTCCACAGCTGAGCTGAAATGCACCTTGCAGGGCTCTTGCGTGTCATTACACAACAACATTTTTCAACACCATTCCGATTCAAAAGAGGCCATAACACAGCAAATCAAGCAAAGCACAAACAAAAAATAACAGCGTTGCTGTTGAAACCCCTCAGCCAGAGTCAAGTTATACTCCGGAAACCATTAACCTTTAACTCAACGTGGTGACCTTGACCTTTGGCCTTTGACCCCAGAACCAGTCCCAACATGCCTGTACCAATGGGAAACCCCCTACCGAAGTTAGACACCAACATTTCATTTCTAACTCAAGTTATCATTCGGAACCATTTACATTGAACTCACCACGGTGACCTTGACCTTTGACCTTTTGACCCCCAAAACCAATCCCAACTTGCCTGTACCCAAGGGCAAACCCCTACCTCAGTCAGACACCAAAATCTCATTTCTAACTCAAGTTATCATCCGGAAACCATTTACCTTTAACTCACCATGCTGACCTTGACCTTTGACCTTTTGACCCCAAAACCAATCCCAACTTGCCTTCTCCCAAGGGGAACCCTCTTCCAAAGATAGACACCAAAATCGCATTTCTAACTCAAGTTATCATCCGGAAACCATTTACCTTTAACTCACAATGGTGACCTTGACCTTTGACCTTTTGACCCCAAAACCAATCCCAACTTGCCTACTCCCAAGGGCAACCCTCTACCAAAGTTAGACACCAAAATCTCATTTCTAACTCAAGTTATCATCCGGAAACCATTTACATTTAACTCACCACGGTGACCTTGACCTTTGACCTTTTGACCCCAAAACCAATCCCAACTTGCCTGTACCCAAGGGCAAACCCCTATCAAAGTTAGACACCAAAATCTCATTTCTAACTCAAGTTATCATCCGGAAACCATTTACCTTTATCTCACCATGCTGACCTTGACCTTTGACCTTTTGACCCCAAAACCAATCCCAACTTGCCTTCTCCCAAGGGCAACCCTCTTCCAAAGTTAGACACCAAAATCTCATTTCTACTTCAAGTTATCATCCGGAAACCATTTACATTTAACTCACCACGGTGACCTTGACCTTTGACCTTTTGACCTCAAAACCAATCCCAACTTGCCTACTCCCAAGGGCAACCCCCTACCGAAGTTACAACCCCAAACAACATTTCTAACTCGAGTTATCATCCGGAAACTAAGCTGCCCGGACGGACGGACGGACGGACAGACACACACACATCCGGACGGACGGACGCCCTAGGCGATGACAATACCCCTCGAGCCTCTCGGCTGAGGGGTAAAAATGAAAGAAAGGGGGAAACAGAAAGCAGTTTGACTCAATAAGCAGAGAGCCTCAATAAGGCTACTGAGGCTATAAACATGATAAAGGAAGGGGACGTTGTCGGTGGCTCCGCTAGCCTCAAGCAGGCAATGAAAAAGCTCATGTGAGGCAGAAGTTGATCTGCCTTGTGCATGTAGACACCAGAAGATAAGGAACGCATCAACAGAGCCAAGGCTCTGGCCGCTAAGACACTTAAGGGATCCAGATCGCTTGGTAGCTGAGGCAGTAGCAATTTGATCACCCGATTTCACGAAGCGCTGCGACGTGTCGCAACTCGAGTTACGACGTGTAACACGTCGCAACTCGCGAGGCATCGTATAATCCATTTCACGAAAGTTGCGATGTGTTGAACGCTTCGTAAGTTCCTTGACAACGGCTTAAAATACGTCGCAAGTTACGATGTGTCTAGTGGTCGTCGCAAAATAAGAAGAGTCCGTTTTAGCCAGTTTTGTGCCATAACCATTACATAAACGAGATTATAATACCGAGGCAATGTGTGTAAAGTTGTAAATAGAAAAATTCATTGAATAATTATGAATTAGCCTGGAATATTGCAGTTAAAATTTCAAAGTAGCTACACAGTCCACTAAGATCTCGTTTTCCTTTAAAATTGCATCACAAGGCCACCATTTTGTCCCACGTTTTAACAAATTGCAAGCACCATGTCGCACCATGTGACACAGTGATTTTTCCATGTCACAGGTCAATTTGTAACCTTTGTCCAGCTGGAAAAGGCTCTGATCAGTGTTGGCCTAGGTGTTTCTACTGCAGAAACACTCCATTAACGACTGGTGAAAGAGATTAAAACTACACTCGGGATGATTTTTACATGCTGTTTTCATATGCTTTTCATCGACTTTTCTTGAAATTATGATTGAAATAAAATTACATATTGTGGAAAAATTGTTAAAAAACAAATTTTGTAGGGCACATTGTAAGAAAATCGGAAATTTCATTGGAAAAGTCAAAAGTCGGTTTTCCGATTAAAATCGGAAAAGTTTCATCTCTGAATAACAGTTGCATCACAAGGCCACCATTTTGTCCCACGTTTTAACAAATTGCAAGCACCATGTCGCACCATGTGACACAGTGATTTTTCCATGTCACAGGTCAATTTGTAACCTTTGTCCAGCTGGAAAAGGCTCTGATCAGTGTTGGCCTAGGTGTTTCTACTGCAGAAACACTCCATTAACGACTGGTGAAAGAGATTAAAACTACACTCGGGATGATTTTTACATGCTGTTTTCATATGCTTTTCATCGACTTTTCTTGAAATTATGATTGAAATAAAATTACATATTGTGGAAAAATTGTTAAAAAACAAATTTTGTAGGGCACATTGTAAGAAAATCGGAAATTTCATTGGAAAAGTCAAAAGTCGGTTTTCCGATTAAAATCGGAAAAGTTTCATCTCTGAATAACAGTTGGATATAAAATTCCATTATATTCAGTGCCCCAATCCTCATTCACTCGTAATGACAGATCAGCGAATGTACATTCCTCTTTGGTCTCAGACACTATAATTAAGCTACTGAAGGTAGGGCGTATTCAAGAATGTTCCATTAGGGCTTTCCAACGGTGCGTCTAAACGTTGGAAAGGCCTTCTTTCGTTGATTACTTCAAAATGACAGCTTGCCAGAAAGAATAATTTCACATAATAATTAGTCCCCTTACTATCTTTACTATCTTTTAACTAAGTATGTTTTTCAACAATACCGTAATTTTCGGAATATAGGCCGCGCGGAGTATAAGCCGCAGCACGCAAAAAGTTGAAATTTGACGTCGGTGTATTAGCCGCACCGGCATATAAGCCGCACCGACGTATACATTTTAAAGTCAAAAAGCTCTGGACCACTTCCATTTGCACTTCAAAAGCTATACAAATGGCTACAAAAGTTATATCAAAACATTTACGGGCGACACTCATTAAAAAAATATGGAAATTGACAATGAGAAATAAACACCATTAATTGCCGACAGCTGGCCTGGCCGGTTGCCGGCCTAAAACTAAGCGCATGGCCCGGCAGCCTGTGCCGGCGAATGACAACATTTTCCCGCAGCACTCGAGAGAGTATGCAACCGACGATGTGTTGTCTGACTGGAGCGCTACAAATCTTGCTTTGTAGTAACAGATGTTGATTTGTTTTGTCCTAAAAATAAATAGGTCCTTTTTTACAACAAAACTTATGAAATTGTTGTGATTACTAACGAGTAGCGACGTCAAAAACTAAAGTTTTCGATCGTACTTTCTCCAAAAACAGTCAACACGATGCATGCATTATTATAGACGAATCCATTAATTTCGTAAGGGGTGATTTAGTCCATTTTGCTTTTTACATCGTTTCTTGAATACATTTCCAGAAAAAAAGAAATGTTTCAGACTCCATGAGAAGTATTAGTTGTCTTTTCTTTTCGAAACAGTGGAAATATTGGTAATTATTGTTCCCAAGAAAGTACACCCCTTTATTACCACAAATGGTGTGGTTCAGTCCACAAGTGTGCGTGGTGCATGCATGGAGCATGCATGCAACACAATGTCACATCAATGCGACGGTCGGTCACCAACGAAAGACAGCTTTCGCTCACAAACAGTCGACCAGCCGGCTGGCGGTGTACCTACCGCTTGGTATCGAACCTTGGTATCTTTTCGTGGGATGTGCTTCCACTGTTTGTTTTAAAAAATGACTTACCTCAGGTAACGATTGATAATTAAATTTAGCAATAGATCTTTTCTTAAACCAGTACATTAAATACACATTTGAATCTTATTTTTATTCTTCAAGGCTCAGCATATAAGCCGCCGTGTGTGAAACGCAGTAAACATTTTTATGGGCAAAATCAACGTATAAGCCGCGGCTTATATTCCAAAAATTAGGGTATTATGTCAGTTACTTTTTGGACAGCTGCAAATGATGGACAGTAGCTTTAATGAAATTTAACAATCTTTTATGGATCCCATCGTGTTCATAAGTGCAAAGTTCAACTGTAAGGTTTTTTTGAGTAACAAGACGTTAACTGGAATAAGTTGAACGTATGGGCTTCGGGACTCCATTTAAAGTAGTACTATTGTGAGTAGACCTACATTTGTACATGAACATGGTGAATGTTTGTATAACATGTATGTGTAACATGTGTGTGTTACCTTTTACTGTTGAGGGATTTGTATTGTATTCCAGTTCATTAGTTCTACTGTGAGTACATGTATATGGTGAGTGCATCATACAGTGTGTATCAAAAAAAATGCAAACAAAATACAACAAATTGCCAGACGTAGAATGAGTAACCAACATAGATGATATAGGTATGGTTTGAAAGGTACACCTTTCCACTTTAAAATGAGACATCAAATGTCCAAATCTGATAGATTTTGATAGAGTTATGAGTAATTTTCCAAGAGAGGTCAAACTGACCATGGAACCAAGTTTCAGTTTTAGGTATTGGACAAAGGTAGCCTAATTGCCTCTGTGTGGATATTTGCCTTACCTACAAAAATGTGTTTCGCGAGTAAACACACTTCTAAACATTTTCTTGCTATCACCTCATGCTAAAAATATTTAGCATGTAAACATTTTTTACAAACTGATAGCAAGAAAGTTATAAAGCACCATCCCGAGCGTGTGGTGTTAAAGTAGGGAACTTGTGAGGATCTGCATCTTCTAGCCCATACATTCAACAGTCCATCCTTTGCTGGAGATTCATTTCTCATACTTCGGAGGTCCAGGCCCTGTCCCCCTGCCTGGCCTGCAAATGCTGCCGCTACATTGATATGCAACTACAATTGCAAAGTATTCTTGTGGTGCAAAACCTTCATCTCGTCCAAAACTTAAGCTGAAGTCAAGTTTAAATTTGCACACATTTCAGGAATTTAAAAGAATAATAATAATCTATACATATGGCACAAATTCCGTAAGAAAATGATCGAATGCGCATCACAATTATTATTTAGACATTTATGACATCCAGTATACTCACCCTGTTTTTTAGATCTTTTGTATATTTGTCAATTTCTCTCTGCAGTTCCAGCCTTGATTGCTTGTTTGGATGGACAGACATCATCTGTGAGCAAAATGTCACAATACAGTAAACTCTCTTTAAATCAACTTTCAAGGGAATGGATAAAGAATTGGAGGCATCCGGAGTTTGAGTTAAGCAAGGTTCCCGATTTTTCAACAGTCATGTCATGGACGTTTACCCACAGGTACATGTATGTCCATGAATGGCTTCCACTGTATTTTGCTATGCCCGGCTAGGAAATGGACACTTTCTTGGGCACAATTTCTTTCTTTCTTTTTTCCATTACTCTAATGGTGTATTATTTTAAAGTAAAAACTCATCATTTTACCTAGATTTCATATTCTGCTAACCTACAAGTGTCTGCTCTATAGATAAACATATAAAGCACTTAATTGTGTAACTGCTTGTGCAACAAATATTTCTTTCATATCGTTTGTCGATCGATATCAATCCAAACTCCACACACAAAAAAGTCAAATATTTACAGCTTCTAATCGTTTTTCTGACAACTGTGTTTATTATTTCAGTTTTCTTCTCTGGTTTTGGTTTCTACGAATAGTTTCTAAAGTGAAATCCCTTTGCGCCAGTGCTAGTATTGTGCAAACTTTTTAGAAAAATGGGTATTTCTGAGAAAAATGGCAGATTTGGCCTATGTAAACGGTGCAAATTGAGCAGATGAGACCAACATTTCCATATGGCTAACTCGAATGCATCTTAAAAGTTTTCCAATGCAATTACATGGCCACCACAAAGAGCCAGCAACTGGACTGCCGCCATGCGTGCCAGAATTGGGTCAGCAGTAGAGATAATGCTTGAAAGCCATGATTTGGTGCGGTTACAGGCTGGAGTGTGATCACAATACACTGCATCAAGTAGAAAGACTTAGTGCATTTGGCAGTATTGGTTCATGAAAACATTTCACGATCTATTTACGCTTCTTTGCGAAGTAGGCAGTAGTTCTGACTGAACAAAAGTTTAAGACAAACGGAGGTAACAGTGAGGGTATTTCGAGTTACTGGGGTATTCGTGTACTAGTATCCTATTCTCTTGATGGGAATGGTGTATAATTTCCAGATAAACAGAGTTTTTAGTAATCCAAATTTGAGGTAACCTGATCAGGCAACCTAGCTCTAAAACTCTACCAACTTTATAAGATATTCAGTCCCATTGATTACATAGTGGATGAAATCCAACAAATTACAGCTTTTGAAAAGATTAAGTTATTTATTAAAGCAACTTCATCAAGACACAATGAACTCACCTGCCACTGTATCTGTTCAAAGCTGTGTGGATCATGTGACACTGGCAAACCAACCTTGACCTTCTTTACCATGTGAAAATCTGTGGAGTATACAAGAAATGTAAACTAACCACGCCCGGCATGCAACTGGGAATTTAGAAGGAAAAACCCCAGGAAATTCCAAACCACACCAGACTTTGTACAGTGTTTTTCAATTTGTAATGGCATTCATGAGAAGTGAAAAACGAGGAAATCAGCGGATCCGAGGAAAAGTTGCATGCCTGCCACGCACAAACATGCTTGTTTGATCCTCACACTCCGGGTGCAAGTGGTTAATGCTGTTAATGCAAGTGGTAATGCTAAATCAGTGACAGTTGCGGAAAAAAGGATGTAAAAATATGCAGCCCTTTTCGAAAAATTTCCACCAGAAACATTTTTTGCCTTTAATAATAACAATAATAAACTAGACGGACGTTGTGTTTGTAGGTAAACAAACACCGAGCTGTTTCGGTGTTTTTTCTGTCTTTGAATGAAAAAGATTGACGTGGCCATCGGCGGCTATCGAACCCAGAACCTTTGTGTGGGGATTCCAAGTTTTTGCCGTGTGTGCCAAGTGTGTGAAGTCGATTTATGTCAGACGTCCTAAATCTATGTGGTTCAATGTGTGCGCAGTCCTCTTTTCTTTGCGTTTGGGAACGGGTGCGCGTGCAAAGCATAGGTGGGTGATTCCATAAATTTAGGGTCCAATTTTGGTGTCCGAGTTACATCTGACTTGTGTAAGATTTTGTAATTCAGGACACATGTCTCTGATTCTAAGAGTGATTATGTAAAGCAAACTACCTGGTAAACAAATGAAAAATAGTGTGAAGTCATTTTTATTGACACTTGAATGGCAAACAAGGATGATTTTTTTTCCCACATGGTAGGCAATGGGCATGGTTGTGCAATGGGGGGGGGGGGCTTCTATGTGAATATTGTATTCTTTACATGTAGTTTACTAAGCACCTCTGATTTTTTTTAAACGTTATCAGCCTACATGTATATGACTGCCCAAATCATCACTTGGTATCCAGTTTTGCCCTTCTCTGATGATATCCTTTTATCCCCGCCCCCTGCATTCGTCACATGACTGTCTCCTTTTAACTGCACACATTGATTCCTCAGATTGTATGTAATTTTGCCCCTCGAAATATAATCCTGACAATCTCAAACATTTCATTATAGGTAGATCATTTAAAACACTAGAGGGCAGCAAACAACTTTAACAGTGCCACAGTTGTGTGCGAGGTCTGACAAGAATACAACCAAAATCAAAGCGAAAAAAGCGAAAAGAAGAAATTTTCAAATCTGAACATTTCACGACATCATTATCAAATTTCTTAATTTGTTGTACATCTTACATCCTGGTATACAATGTAGGCATACAATGTAGGCCTACTTACATGTTTATCGACGTATATAGTTCAGACATTATTGGCCTCAGAAAAAACTGTCCCTTTAATGTGACATCACTTCCAACGAGTTGACATTATGATGTCAGTTGAATTTTAATCTATACCACACCCTGATTTCGGTACATATCAAGTAACAACCAAATCAGATGGAAATCCACCATTTTAACGACACACCACGCGACATGTAATCAAATCATGGAGATATCGCAGAAAAAAAGGCACCACCAAAATTGGACCTATTGTTCTATAGCTATACGTCTCAGACATACCCCCTTTAATGTGACCTCAGATCATATGTAACGATTTCAAGACGTCATCTTGACCTATATTCTGGTATACAGTGTACAGTATAACTAATCCAAGTTTGTGTGAATACAAAGTTTCAACCAAATCATAAGCATACATCTGGAGCCATGGGGATGGAAATGATGCAAAGTCAGGGTGCCCTCACATGACAGCAAATAAAGTCACTATGATTTCACCTATATTATCAAATATAACAGATCCCAATATCAACCCTATGAAGAAAAGAACGTGTACAAACCCTATGGAGAAAAGAACGTGTACAAACCCTATGGAGAAAAGAACGTGTACAAACCCTATGGAGAAAAGAACGTGTACAAACCCTATGGAGAAAAGAACGTGTACAAACCCTATGGAGAAAAGAACGTGTACAAACCCTATGGAGAAAAGAACGTGTACAAACCCTATGGACAAAAAAAATGCCCCTTTAATGTTTCGTAACTTGACACCTGATGACGTCATGATGACAATTTTCTATAACTATAATATTATGGTAAAGAAGATCTTAGCCAGAGCATACATCGTTGAAAGCAAGTTCACATCTTTCACCAATTTTAAATTACAAAAACTTCCGGTTTCAACCAGGAGAAAGGGTCACGTGATTTTGCACATATTTAAAAAATGAAGACCCTCGATAATTCTATCAATTCCTGCAAAAATCATGTTCAGGTCTCTCACTGTTGATTTTATATTGATTTTTAAAGATTAAATCTATTAATCTTTAACGAGACGTCACGTAACCCATGATGACGTCATCTTGACGTCACTTCAATTTTCATCCCGGTCTAGGTACATACCAACTTTCAATCCAATCGGACCAGTGGTTCTGTAGATATTGGCCTTCGAAATATGCACGTTTAGTATGACGTCACATGTCACGTGATGATGTCATCATGACATCACTTCAATTTTCATCTATAACACATTCCGGCTTAAGTACATACCAAGTTTCAACCCAATCAGACCTGTAGTTCTGTAGATATTTGCCTTGAAAATATGCACATTTGATATGACGTCACATGTCACGTGACGACGTCACATCACGTGATGACGTCATCGTAACGTCACTTAAATTTTCATCTATAACACATCCCGGTTTATAGGTACATACCAAGTTTCAACCCAATCGGACCTGTAGTCATGGAGATATAGGCCTTCAAAATATGCAACTATATCGTGACGTCACATGTCACGTAATGACATCATCGTGACGTCACTTAAATTTTCATCTATAACACATTCCGGTTTAGGTACGTACCAACTTTCAATCCAATCGGACCTGTAGGTCTGGAGATATAGCCCAATCTGTCAGATCTAGCCGAATTCTGCTAGAAAACGGTCACAATAGAAAAATCGCATATAATGTGACGTCACGTGACTCATGATGACGTCACGATAATGTCAATGTTCGGCACACAACTTCAGATGCTGGTTCAAGTGTGTGCCAAGTATAAAGTCAATCGGATTGATTTTAGTGCCCAAAGTGCTGGTAACAAAAAAACGTGTACAAATGCTATGGGCAAAATGACTGAAAAAGTAAGAAACTAGACTTATGTTTGTGGACAAACATAGGGCTGTTTCGGTAGCTTTTTTTGACATGTGACATGTGTTCCATCAACGAAGGATGTGCAGTTCTGTTTATAATAAATGGTGGCATATAATATGTGATTCCATTCTCATAGGGCTTTGAATTATGACGTCACATGTCACGTGATGACGTCATGATGACGTCACATAAAGTTTCATCTTTTACTATAATATTATGGTAAAGAACAACTTAGCCAGAGCAAACATCGTTGAAAGCAAGTTCACGTCTTTCACCAATTTTAAATTACAAAGCACTTCCGGTTTCATGGAGAAGACACGAGAAAGAATACCCAGGACACACATATAATAAGAGCTGACTTCACAAGAACACCTTGTTTGTCCTGACAGGCTAAGGCGATTAGAGAGGCTGAGGAGAAGACATTGTGGGAGACTGGGGTACTGGGAGATGAAACTCAGCAGACTGTTGAAGACACAATATTTTATCTTTTTGGGATTCACTTTGCCCTGTGAGCGAGCACTAAACATCACCAGTTGAGATTTGATCACTCGCAGAGCAGTGATGGATGTCACTACTTAAAACAGATAAGGTGGGCTAAAGTACCAAAAGCTGACACCCAAATGTGTGCAGTATCTTTGAGTTCTACCTAAAATTATACCTGTCTCATGGACCATCTGACCCAAGATGTAGTTTGGCATTCTATCTGTGTCCATTGGCAAAGCATATTAAGTCAGGAACACAATATTGTTGCCAACCTCTAGGCGTAAATTAAATCTCTAGATTTGTCACTGTCCCACACTTGTACAAAAATACCCAATTGTCTTGTACAATTTGCATAATAAAGGTGAAAAAATAAACAGACTAAGTGTAAAACTGTTTTAAAAAGACTGTTTTTCTTAAATGTGAGTCAAAAACAAATCATTATCACACATTTAATGCTGAAAAGCACCACTATACAAATTTGCTTTACACAAGCAAACTAATTCACCGTTTTTATCTTGCCCAAAGTTAAACAATTACAAAACTACAGTCATTCATCTTCTCAACACTTACCCAAAGCTGGATTACGTAATTTTACAAAAATGACTATGTGATTTCCTTTCATGCAGTTTCACACAAAAAATAGCGAAACTAGAGCTGTGCCTGTTCAATGAACAGGACACAGGCTTTTCCGCATTTTAAAAATAATACAAGAAAAAGTAAAAAAGTTGATAAATTAATCTAAAAAATTGGTGATGATGTCATCATGACGTCACTTCAGATTTTGCATACTATTAAGACTATCTACCTACCCACCAAGTTTCAAGATAATTGGTCTTACCCGTATAAGTGGTTTTAAAAATCGCATTTTTGATGACGTCATCGTGACGTCACACATTTTTCAAAAAAAAATGTGCAGATACCTATTATAAAACAAACCTAATACAAAAAGAATTTTGAATTTAGTATGTTTGAAGCCAGTCAGATGAATAAAAGTGTTAAATTTTGTAAGCAGAATAAAATTGTAATTTTAAAAATCATAAAAAATCTACCGATGACGTCATCGTGACGTCAATTCAGATTTTGTGTACTAGTACTATTATCTACCCACCCACCAAGTTTCATGACGATTGGACATTCCCTTATATGTGTTTTAAAAAATCGCATTTTTGATGACATCATAATGACGTCACACAATTTTCACAATTTTGTGAATGTACCTGTTACCTAACAAACATAATACAAAAAGAATTTTGAATTTATCATATTGCATTCGTAAGATATGGCTTAAAGGTCCAAAACTTCAAAAATCAATATAAAATCACACGATGACGTCATGATGACGTCACCTCAATTGTTACCTATAACACATCCCGGTCTACCTACATACCCAATCTGCCTTACAGTTCTTTAGATATAGGGTCTTAAAGTTAGCACATTTCAGATGACGTCACGTGACCCATGATGACGTAATCATGACCTCACTCTTCCGGACACAAACTCACTATGGGGTCTTTACATATGTTAGGTTTCATTAGAATACGAGTTTGTTTTAGGTCCAAAGTGCCGCGGCCAATAAAACATGTACAAAGTCTATGGGATTTGGGTTAGAACAAAAAGAAAAGGGGAAAAAAAAAAAAAAAATCAGAACAAAAACAATGCTTTTCCGCTTTTAATACTGGAAAGCATTTAAAAAGGTCAGAAATGCTACTGTATGTTAAAACAATAACACAATTTAACACAATTTTAAAGTAATATTATTTCAAGTGATGAAACATTCCACCAGGGTGGGAAACAATGTCACATCCAAATACTTTGTCATATAATTAAAATTACCAATGAATTCTAAACAAGTGCTCAATTTTGTCTTGGGGTGTTTCAATGCTTGAGAAAGTTTGAAATCATTTGAATGTACTTTTACAAAAATATGAGCAAATATGTATTGATGCAGACGTAACGTTGACACCGTGTCAATGTTACATCCAAATACTCTCTTTTTTTTGGTCGTTTTTACACATACATGTATGTAAACTGACATTGCATGAAATTTGGGATTGACACGGTGTCAATGCTACGTCCACAACCAAGAGTTCATTTCTCCTCCATTTGATACCCCACTCCATTTGATATGTCCGAATGACATTTCTGCTCATCTTTTTGGTAAAATACATTCAAATGATTTAAACTTTCTGCAGTAGTGAAACACCAAACAACAAATTTTCTGTAGAGCAACTGCTAGCAAGGCATTCATACTTTCCTTAATATGGTCATATGTCACACATTGTTCCCCAACATGGTGAAATGACCCAGTTCTGAATCCACACTTCTGCACTTTCTGTCCAAAATAGAAGATTTGTAGTTCTGAATCCATACTTATGTTGTAGAAATAGCATTCAAGGGCCTTATTTTATTTTCATGCACATGCAATTTTACATACTTGTAAAAAAAACTGTTCTTATGTAAAACATTGTAAGTTTCCTTTACAATTCCAAGGTATGACTATTTGTGAAAATGTGTCATATTTTGAAAACTGTTTTGAGGGACCTTGAACAGAATCTAAAATATCAAAGAGACTTACACTTCTTGTATGCATCCTCAAAGTCAAAAATTAGCTCCCATAGATTCTGAATCAGGAAGGTACAGATAAAGGTATAAGATTTAATGCAAATACAATGGACTGAACTCATTCAATTTCAAAAATAATATTAAATTTCAAATGTAATATTCTTTGCTTTCAAATTGGTCAAAAGAAATGCGCATAATTTCTTTGTTCCACCAGGGTCATCTTTCAATACCATTGAGACTAAGTTTATAACAGAGAAGGTTGACTGATTCAGTGAGCAAAATTCAAACTGACCACATCACGGTCTGGTCCAGATTAAATTACAAGTCCTTTCACATGTCCAGTCATAAGTAACAGCTGCTTTGCACCTCAATGGCAGTATCCAGCCGCATTACTCCCAAGCTGAGATGGTCTTTGGAATGTTTCATTGGCCCAATAGGCAGGGGACATGGGCATCCCCCCCCCCCCCCCCTCCGGACAAGGAAGAAAAAAAGCAAAAGAGGCGCGAAATCATATTGATGTTAATTTAATGGGTTGGGAGGGGCAGGCAAATGTCCCTTCCCACCCTTGAAAAAAAGTGATCAATCCGGAAAATGATGGATATGTGCACATTAAAAACAACAACAGAATGTGTTTGTCACGGTTCATCTGAATAGCATGTTCATCTGACTTGACTTGAGACAGGATGAACTGTGATGGACTTGTGAAAAAAGTGATGGATTGTGATGACTTGTGATGGACAACACTGGTCTAAGATTACAAAGAAAAAAGATCATAAAAAAGAACACAGGTTGAGTAAACAGAAAAGGATATTGTTAAGCTAAACTGACCCTGAACTCCAAGGGTTTATACATGAGATCCTCCCTTCGACTCATTCCAAGAGCTCCATATCTGCCTGAGTGGTAGATCCCAAGCACAACATGTCGATGAATTGTCCCTGCAAATTCAGTCTTAAAGCTGATGGGAAACCGTTCCAATCCTGGTGCTCCATTGGTCAGGTAGCTTAGCGACTGCTAAGGATCAGAAGGAAGTGAGGATTTTAGGATTTAATAAGTTTTCACTGTTTCTTACTTGTTGACACCAAAACTCTGCCACTGATTCTATATGTTTAAGTCTCTCTTTTTTGTTGTAATGTTGATGCAAAAGGGTTTGAGATTTTTTTAACTCAGTGCTATTAATATAAATATTATGTAACGGCAAGATGAAATATTTAATTTTGCTTTAATCATACTTTATTTCAAAATGTTTTCTTTCTTTTGCAATTTGAAATCACGCATATCTTTGATATGAAGTAAGTTTGTTACAGTAACATGTAAATTCGGGTTTTTGTATTTTTATTTTACATGTAGAACCCTCTTTCGATATCATACTTTTATGAGGTCAAAGTTTAGACTCTTTATAATTCCGATGATTTGTAAATAATTGACATGTGCTGAATTTATCTCTCCAAACAATGTAAAATTATCAAGGTTCCTAGGTCCCAAATGTTGTGGACTCTGATTCCAACACAATAAGTAAGCCTTAATTGATTTATTCATGGTTACAATTTCATCACCGTTGTAGACGAGTCACCAACCTCAAGTCCGAGTCCGAGCCCCGAGTCACAAGCCTCGAGTTCGATTCACTTATTCTTTGTATCTGACAAAGAAAACCATACATGCCCTCAACCCCATACCGTATGAATATTTCCTGATTACAAAGTCTTAAATGGAAAGGTTATGCCAATATTCTGAACACAAGGTTATAGTTTTGACTGATTTTGGTGGGGGCATTGAAGTAAAATTAAAAAATGTTGAAATTCATTTTGGTGAAATTTAGTTTTAGTTTCCCACGGTTTCCCAAAATTAACGCGACGTCGTACATGTATTTCACCCATCCACTGTAATGCCAATTGGTGTCTGCGTAGTATTATTAGTATTGTTGAGAATATTGCACTTTTGACTATAATGTCCGGTGTGCGCTGTATGCAGACACTCGTTAACATCGGGCCCTGGTGCTCATCGTGCAGACGCTAGGCATGCGTGCGCGGCCCCTGGATGCGATTTTCCACAGCGCCATGTTTTGTCTATGGAGTAAAAAGAATGCTACGTTCGTCACACAAATACGTAACATTATTTTTTTTGGGGGGGGGAGGAATGAAAATATGTGACTCGAGTCACGAGTCACCAAGCTCGAGTTCGAGTCATCATGGTCAAGTCGGAGTCGGAGTCTGAGCCATTTTCCAATGTGACTCGAGTCAGAGTCCGCGACATGAAAAATGTGACTTGAGTTGGAGTCCTGGACTCGAGTCCTACAACACTGCTATTTATTGTATTCTGAGTGGTTCAATAGGATAAAGTTAACTTTTCATGTGTTTTGGTGTGATACATGAGCATAATGTATGCAGCATGTCCAGTGGAGGTTCAAACACTTTTGTTTGGGTTAATGAATAAATCAATGATTTATTATGTTTTCCTGTATAAACTGTTACTAAAGTCAAGTATAATGTTTGTAATATTACAGACACAGTGAACCACCAAATGCGCCAAATGCAGCACCACCGCCCACTACTACTTCCTCCTCATCATAAGGGTGCATTATGAAGGGACCAAATGGTTTCATATAGGCCTAAATGTGGCAATTGCTGTTTCGAAGGCTACATATTACCTATGTTTTTTACATTATTGCATACTGACATTGCATAATTTCTTAATTTAACTGTACCATGGATGTGTACTCCAACCCCCCCCCCCCCCAAAAAATACATTTATCCTGAAATTTGGCTTATTAGTTACTTAAAAAGGGAAAAAGCTCCACTAAAGGAACTCAGCCCTTTTCTAACAGCCTTCAACACAGGCCATTGGTTGAAATAAATCGCCGAATAAGTAACATTTATGACAAAGTGTGGATTTGAATTGAAAGGATACAGAGAGAGAATAACAGCCTCAAGACACTTGATTGGAAGAGACTCCCTGATCATCTCCTTGGCTGTATCCATTAACCTATCAAATATCCCCCAAAAAGAAAATTACAACAATGCAATATCAATGAAAAATCAATGCAATATCAATGAAAAATCAATGCAATATCAATGAAAAATCAATGCAATATCAATGAAAAATCAATGCAATATCAATGAAAAATCAATGCAATATCAATGAAAAATCAATGCAATATCAATGAAAAATCGCCAAAAAATACATGAGATTTTCCAAGTTTAGTACAGAATGTAAGACTATGAAAGGGTCTTTTTCATAATACTGAACAACTGACCACATCAGTCACAAATGAAATCTTACTTTAAACTGCCTAACTTACAAAGAATTCCCAGTATGTTAGGTACAATTCCGAATTATCATTTAACTTTGAAGAATTCTTGTTCTCTTCAAAAAAGATAAATACCTTCAAAAGAATTTTGTTCAGTTTGAGTACATTCACATGTATAAAGTACTTACCCAGAAATTGGCCTGGTTTTCCTTATCTCGAAAAACTGAGTTCCTGTGTGATTGTATCTGTAGTTAAAATTCCTAAGGATCATTTTTCATTACTAAATGTTTGAAAAATTTCTTCAACACATTCCATCTCACTAACACCGCTTAAAGAAAAGTTCTTGTTGTGCCCTTTTATTCGATACCACATGTGATATCACTTCACTGGTAGATCACGTGAAGTTTCAACTTTTTGTCCACTATCGCATGGAATTGACAATTTGCCGTGTGCGAGTAAGCCATGCCCCTTAGACAACCCTATGGAGTTTTTGTACACTTAAGTTTGTTTGTCTCAGATTTTGCATGTTCCGCGTCTTTTTACACATCATGTTATTGGACAATATTCACAAGCTGCGTTGACACGATTCTAACGCGACTGTAACACGATAGGTTAATTACCCGATATCATCTTTCTTAATTCTGACAGTCAATTTCTTCTATCCACAGAAACAACTAAACATTAGATTTTTATCAATATGAATAAATAATGGTACACTATTATAGCCTATTCATAAATACCTAAGACCGTTTACGCATTCCTATTGGTCGAGAGCCCGTCACATAGCCGGTCTTAAACGGATGATAAAGACATGGCTAGCTGATCTTAAACACTTTTCCAGCGTCACATGAAATTTGGACTCCCATGAAAGCCGGTGCTTTTTACGTTTCATTGGTTGACCGTTCAAATTCCACACGTTTGCATGCGCAATACTACCAGTGAATCATTATTTTCATAGTCCGATATTCAAACTACGCCAGCCCAGCTGCGTTTTGTGCGACATCGCGCAGTACGCACGACCATGGAGGTGGAATACGCAACGTGCACGCAATTGTGGAGGGGCATTCCATATTATAGTCAAAGGGGTGTTTCGTAAAACATGAAGTAAAATAGTTGAACAAAATGGTTAACAACGTCTAGTTTTTGACTTGTTTTGATTTTTGGACAGAAAAGATTTGTTTTTTGACCAAAAAGGTATTAATGAATGGGAATAAATGTGTGTTCTGTTGGTATTAAACACTCTGTTTAAAACCGGTGTGAGTTTGGATGGGTGATAATTAGCCTCGGCTTCGCCTCGGGTAATTATCACCAATCCAGACTCACACCGGTTTTAAACAGAGTGTTATAATACCTCCGAAACACACATTTATTCCCTTATAAGAAAACTTCTATGTGTTTCACTATTTTTTTTCCAATCTTATTTCTAATCTTATAATACCAATGACACACCCTTGATGCAAGGAAACAGAAAAAAATATTCCAATAGTACTGCTACAGACAATGCGATCATGAGCAAATTCCGCATGTTCAATTTAAATCATTTTGCAATTGACATCTGACCCAATAGATGAAGTACTACTAAACCGTTTGTAACACACACGGCTTCACTGTTGAACAGAAAGTATGTCTAAAACTTGAGGATTTTTTTTTTCTTCAAAACACTATACACATATATCCATTTAGAAAAAAAAGAAACTTGCATACATGTGAATGAAACCTTGAAAGAATAAACACAATGTTAAAAGTTTGCTTTTTGCTATAGGCCAGAAATTTTGTTATGTTATTGGATTATGAACATAACAGGTTCGAAAGCCGGAATGAAAAACTAGATCTACAATGTACCTATGTCCTTTCAATGAACAGAACCTAAGGCTTTTCTGCATTATGAGTCTTGAATTAGTTTAATCTTTTGTGTCCGTGTGCACTCATTTCAATCTTCAATTTCCTGTACCATGACTTTACTTATTCAGTGTCCTGTAGTTCTCAAACTGTACAGATATGACTTTAAAATATACACGATTAATGCAATCTTAAGATGTACATGTATACCACCCTTGCATGTGATTTCAAAAATGTCATTTTTGATGACGTCAGTATAACGTTAGACTTTTACAAAATATTTATGTGCAAATATGTATGACCTATCAACAAACCTAATACCAAAAATAATTTTGAATTTAGAATGTTCTAGCTATGAGATTGGCTCAAAGGTTTGAAAGTTTAAAACAATCATTTAAAAGTCACATGATGATGCCATCAAGATGTCACTCTTATTTTAACCTATAACACATCCCCGTCTACAAACACATCACGTATCAGCCCAATCGGATTTTCAGTTTACTAGACATAACAAATCTTAAGATATGCACCTTTAGGATGATGTCACTGTGACATGTGACTCACATGACCAATGATAGCGTAATCGTCATGTCACTTGTCTAGGACCAATTTTGCTGTGGATTCTTTGTCTGTGCAAAGTTTTAAGTCAATCTGATATCGTTTTGGTTGAATTTTGAGAGTAGAAAAAATGTAAAAGCTTTAAAAATTTATTAAAAAAAACCAATTGATCGCACCATCATGATGTCACTTCTAAATTAATTACTAGTAACAGAATCTACCTACCAACCAAGTTTCATGACGATCGGACTTACCCTTACATTTGATTGTAAAAATTGCATTTTTCATGAGGTTATAATGATGTCACACACTTGTCACATTTATACATGTGCAAATATGTATTGAAGCTATAGTCCATAATTTGCAGCCATCCGAAAAGTAACTGGCGTAATTATTGTTGAAAAACATACTTGGTCGAAAGAGAGTAAGGGGACTAAACTCCCTGTGAAATTATTCTTTCTGGCAAGCTGTCATTTTGAAGAAATCAACGAAAGAAGGCCTTTCCAACGAAGCGTCTTAAGAAGCATCGTTGGAAATTTCCGTCAGTCGTTCGTTTGTTTTATTCGGCGAAGCGCGAGCAAGCGTTGACACGACGCACATGCGGGCGCAGTTGCTATTATTTGTCGGATCGGTGTGCGAAATCGCGTAGCTACAATCGGCTCAGTGAGAACGTGTCTCGGACACTGAATTCAGGCCCAATTCAAAACATGATTCAGCCACTTTTGATTTGAAATCGAGATTCTAGAGTGTGGTTTTTCTCGAAATATACAGCTGTAGCAGAGCTGAAACTTCTTCAGGTTAGCTGTTCAGCACCCTTCTTTAGATTTTGAGCACTTTTGTTGCTTCAAACGAACAAAATGCACAAATTACAAATGATGGACTATACCTCTATCAGACCATAACAACAAGAATTTAACTTGAGCATGTTCTGTTCATGAAATATGACTTTGAGGTTAAAAAATACATAACAAATCAGGAGCTGACGTCATCATGACCGTCACCTCCATTTTACCTATAACACCCAGGTCTACCGACATACCAAGTTTCAACCTAATTGGACTTACAGTTCTCTAGAAATAGGACTTTAATATATCACCTTTAAGATGTCACATGACAAATGATGATTTAGTATCTTTTGTATCTTTGTTCATCCCCTGGGACTTGTTTGTCTGCCCTCTTTTTGACTTGTGAAAACAAGTCCTTGTCGAAACAGGAAGTGCCTAATAATTTAAAAGTGGACAAAAGTATGAACTAGCTTTCAACGATGTTAGTGTCTGCCTGGGTTGACCTTTAAGAAAAAATTGATCGGTGACTCCATGAAGTGTTCGAGCGCCCTCTAGCAGCAGTTTAAAAATGTCAAAAAGGCATCTTCACTTGACGTCTGTGGCAAAATTTGCAGTAATCGCTTCAAAATTAATATGCATGATGACCTTAATGCAGACAAGGCCTGTGCGCAAAAAAAAATTGATTGTCAAGTTACCATTGAAAAGAATTTTAAACCTTCAAAAATTGCTCAAACATCAACCCTGATATATATAATCAAGATTTGGCTATACATAGCACAGTTAACATACCTCTTGCACTTTCTGGTAATGACGTAACAATGACGTCATCAAGTATCATATTACAAGCAAATAAAGATTCCTATGCTTTATCTTTGAAAATCAACATCAAATCAACTGTTACAGATTTGAATTTTTTTTTATGGCATCAATACAATATTGCAGGGTTTATGTATTTGGTATTATGTGCAAAATCCTGTGACCCTTCCTTCCAGTGGTAACCAGAAATGCCTTATAATTTTAAAATGGCAAAAGATGTGAACTTGCTTTCAACGATGTGAGTGTCTGCCTAGGCTGTACTTTAGAAAAATATTACAGGTGATGTCAAAAAAATGTTAGAGCGCCCTCTAGTGGCATGTTGACTAAGTCAAACATGGATTTAACATGCATTTTGAGTTATATCAAACATTTTGATATCCTCTTACCTGACACGTACAGTTCTTAACTCTTTCGCTACGGCGAGCTGCTGACAGCGGCACACACAAATTGTACAGGTCGTACGGAAATCCGCTGGCAGTGGCTCGGTTACGCCGCTGTGAATAAACAGGGTATCCCCATGACGTGGGCCATATCTACATAATTTATATCGTATAACCTCTGACCCTAGTTTGAGCCGCTGCCTGTGCAACAGTCTACTACGCATGCGCTTTACAGAGCAATCGAGGAACTGTCGCACGGGTGCAGTACGCACGCGCGAACATTGCCCAGGAGAGATGCATGGTTGCACGGTTCGCGTAAATGTTAATTTCCAGAGCTCAATGATGCCGTACTGGAGAAAACTTACAAAAGAAAGTTGTACACAAACAACTATATTTACAACTGTAGTAACTGTATTATATTGCAAATGAACCGAACTAGAACTAATATAAGTTGAGCAACAATATTCTGTTGGTGAGCTGGACAAGTTTCCCCGAATTTTGTTTTAGGTGCATATATAAAAAAAAAATTCGGCAACTGAATATGTATGAAGTATAGTAAAACAAATATAACATGGTTTATTTCGGGAGGACAGTCGATTTTAGCTCCCCTCGGTATTGGAAGTTGACAAACTAGTTCCCGAGGCGAAGTTTGTCAACTTCCAATACCTCGGGGAACGAATATCCACTGTCCACCCTCTAGCAGCTAGGAGAGGGTGGGATTCTAAAGGCAACAAAATGGTGTTGATTGCATTTTGGACTAAAACTCTCCAACTTATTGTACACTGAGCCAGCCAATCCAAAAATGGCGTCTCTCATTAAACAATATCTCAAGTGCTGCAACAAATGCCAGTCTTGGTCATCCCTGAAGATTTTTTGTCTAGATTTGAACTTTTTTCAACACTAATTACCATTACCGGTACTGTAAAGGCTCAGAAGCATATATATGTACACAACTAGTTGTAGCACTTAGTGTGTCACAACTTTTGTCAAAGTTCTTTCTACATCAGACTTGGAATATATGCAACAAATGTCAGGGATACTGCAGCTCCTTCATGTAGTCTTGCACTGCATCGAGTCTACACTGCACTGCAGTCGTTGGCTGGAATGTTGGAGCAGAAGGAATGTTAACCTGTTAATGAGAACAAAAAGAAAACAATAACTACTAATTAATCACGTGCCTCTAGTATTCAGAAAAATATACATGTGTATGGGCAATGCCAGTTGTAATATCCAGGCAGAGTTTTTAGGAGCTCAGCTGGGCTGCCCAAACTGCAACACTATGGGCTCCGTGCACAAGTACCCCAACAACCGCCAAAAAAGGAGAGTTAAAGAAGACCTAGACTAGTTCCCGATCCATTCCATGCATACTTCGAATGTTTCCAAACTTATTGGAGGCGGGGATTAGTTTCGGGATTTAGTTTCGAAAACCATCGCAAGTTGAATTCAAACGTATTGAGCTTTCGGAAAGTCATGCGTACTTCGAGCGCGAACCAGTACAGTAATCACGCTGTGTATCCCGTCCACGGAGCTCTCGAAAGAGGTAAAAATGCGCCCTCTTTTGTTGGCACACGGAGCCCATAGTTTGGACCGATATAAAAAAAAAAAAAATGAGAAATCGCATTAGATGGGTAAAAACATATTTTAATTACAACCTTTTCTTGAGACGAAATGAAGAAGAGAATACCCACTTTCCCTGACATTTTGTGGGCAGGCCTCCATTGAAAAGTTAGCGAAAGAAACCCAAAAAGTACGGAAACGTATTACCGCCACACATTTGCATTATTTTTTTTTCATGACGTATGTGATAAGTTTCACATAAGTACGTGATATGTTATACGTTTCACGTACGTACATGAAACTAATCACGTACGTACGTGAAACTTATCATGTACGTACGTGAAACCTATAACATATCACGTACGTACTTGAAACTTATCACGTACGTATGTGAAAAAAAATAATAAATGTGTGGCAGTAATACGCCCGGAGTGTCAGTGCGATACCAAATTATCCGCAGCATTTATCACGTGGTAAATCACATGCATGATAAGAGGAGGTTGCAGGAGTGCAGGACGTTAAGATCTTGCCAGATTTTACCTCGAATTTCGTTTAGGCCGAATAAAAAAACAAACATGTTTCTTGTCCGGGTTTTTGAAAAAAAAGGAGGAAGCAGGGCTTTCTATTTTTTATTTTCTTCAAGATGGCCACCAGTTTAAAATTTCCTGCAACCGTTGGTGTTTCCACTGTTCAAAGACACTTTTAAAATGAAAGACAAGTTGGACAAGAGAACTGAACATATTTACATGTTTCATTTAGAGTTATATTGGTCTACAATGAATAGTTTTAGATACATTTGACTTTTTTGGTGTTTTTTTATTTTTACTGCATTTAAAAAAATAATAATAATAAAAAAATCCAGGCGGCCTCCAAACATGCCAAAAAGGAAGCGAGCGGGGACATGAATTTTTTTTTTAACTTCGCCTTAAAATAAATGCCAGATTTGGCGTAAGAGCGATTTCAACATGTTCAAGAAAGCTTGATATAAGTAGGCTATGCGATAGCTCTACTGAGTGGAGCGTTGAATTACGGGTACCCCTCCATACAAACGCTCCACCGATTTGCCATACTTTGGTAGCACCATACACGGTCGTCATGACGGTATGCATTTTGTGCATGCCCTCGCGAGGACAAGGCCCAAAAAAAAACGATAAAGAAAATACAAATGAGGAAGACAGTAACCCTGGATAGATCCACACATTCATGACATTCCATAAGACCCCTCAAATTGTTTCAAACAACCGGTAATTTTGAAAAAAGAACAAATTAGTCTGAACTTACCGCTCACAATTAAATGTGTCTGCCGAGTTGCACAGTCTATTTCACTGACATGACTGATGCATAATTCATTGCGCGCGTGTGTGACGTCACTATTGAAGAAAAATAAGTTGCGCTTACTCAATGGCTGTTTCATGTAGTCATATGTGCCCCGCGCCGTCTGACTGTGGGTTTTTGGTGCGGGGCACATATCAGTACATGAAACAGTCGTTGATTAAGCGCGACTTGTTTTTCTTCAATAGTGACGTCACACACGCGCGCAATGAATTATGCATCAGTCATGTCAGTGAAATAGACTGTGCAACTCGGCAGACACATTTAATTGTGAGCGGTAAGTTCAGACTATTTTGTTCTTTTTTCAAAATTACCGGTTGTTTGAAACAATTTGAGGGGTCTTATGGAATGTCATGAATGTGTGGATCTATCCAGGGTTACTGTCTTCCTCATTTGTATTTTCTTTATCGTTTTTTTTTGGGCCTTGTCCTCGCGAGGGCATGCACAAAATGCATACCGTCATGACGACCGTGTATGGTGCTACCAAAGTATGGCAAATCGGTGGAGCGTTTGTATGGAGGGGTACCCGTAATTCAACGCTCCACTCAGTAGAGCTAGCTATGCGAGTACTTATCACACGGTAAAGCAATGTTCAGTTTTTTTCACGGAAGGACGATTTCGCTTGGTTCGAACTAGTCCGAGTAACTTGGACCCAACTTATCGCCTTTTGTTAACATTTGGACATGTCCGAATGTTAAAAAAGGCGATAAGTTTGGTCCAAGTTACTCGGACTAGGTTCGAACATGGTACACAAGACTAGCGTGGCGTAGTTTACAAGCCACGTTCACGTGTCTAATCACAGAGCATCTAGAATTCTAAATTTTTCTTGCACTTGCAGCAAATTATTAAAAAGCAAACCTTTGGCAATTCTTTTTGTTCCCTAATTTCAGCCATGGGAACATTTCCCTGAGGATGAACCTTGGCAGCATGGCTCCACATTCGTTCCCACGTATTCTTCGACACTGGGAAACCACTCTTGTTGACGTAAAACAGAACGCCGTTATCCTCATTGTTACTATCAAATTCGGCGCTGCCTTTTGTCAGACCTGGAGTAGGCCTATCCACTTTGTTTTTCACAAGTGAAACCTCGAAAGACTTCCCAGTCATTTTTGAGTGACTACCGTGGATTGCATTGTGTGGAAGTAATTTAATATAGCTCTAGGACAGGTGTAGGAAAATCCGGAAAATTCTACTTCTTCACACTGCATTCGCCATATTGTTTACGGCATGATATGGCAACGCGCATCCTTTTTATGCAAGCTAGCGCTGGGCCGTATGAAAATCGGACTCCTATCAACCTCGTCCCCAGGGTGTCGAGCAGTACGCGCCCACCACTACCTGCTCTCTCACCCTGGTATTGGATCATTTGCATACTGCGCAAGATTTTTGCACACGTATGCAAATGAGGAACAGTCTAATGCCTGGATATGCGTTACACATTAGCGTTTATTTTTGTATGCGGTGTCTGGGGTAAAAACAGAGTCAATTCGTAGCAGCGCCAGCATACTTTGAGATGGGATTACAGTATGCTGATGACATCACTTGGGCAAGTAACAACATCCACCCGATAGCAACTGTGGAGAGGAAGGCACCTGAGGTGAGCGAAACCTCACAGTAAACACGTCTAAGACAGAGAAACACCTCATCAGTAGAAACGGAAGCAACACCAGTTGGAAGAAATGCAAATACTTGGGATCTTTTCTCGACACTGAGCAAGATATTACCAGGAGGAAAATACTTTCGATGGTATCTTTCAACAAATTCAGGAATGTCTTCAACAGTGATGCAATCTCAAACAACACGAAACTCAAAACATTCCGCGCCTTCATAGCATCTGTATTCCCATACAACAGCGAACTATGGACATTGACTAAGTCACTAGAAGAGAACATTGATGCATTTCACAGAAGACTCTTGCGTTCAATCCTTAATATAAAATGGCCCAAGAAAATCACCAACAAAGAACTGTACAGGAGAACCAACGAGATCCCTTGGAGTACTGCCATTACCCGAAGACGTCTTAGGTGGACAGGCCATCTCCTGAGACTACCCGAGGAAGCTCCTGCCAAGCAAGCACTTCTAGAGGCAATCCGCAAGAACAAGCTACCAAGAGGGGGACCGTGCCACGTGGCTGAAGAGAGTAAACAAGGACCTGACAACCACGGGGGTCAACATCAAGGATCGATGCACGTGGCAAGAAAAATTAATAAATAATAATAATCAAAAAATTTGAGCAAATTTGTTTGAAAAGATATTAATTTTAAAAAAATCTAACCAAAAATTGTGAGACCCCAGCCAAATCCTGGGTGCGCCACTGGTTAAATTTTGAACGGTGCCCCAACAATTGAAAGTATGGTGCAAGCCTCCCCGCGTCCCCCTTCCCTCCACTCCATTGATTTTCGGAGGTAAAACAAATGTCCGGAGAAAACAAACCTGTCTACATTTCACATGTTTTTTGTTTTTTTAGGAGGAACTCCACCTCCCCATCCTGCGAACATTCCTGCTTCCGCCCATGTCGCCTGTTGTGTTCCGCACTTTTGGCGGGTAGTTTATATTTGTCATCGGAATTATTTCAAGGTGTCAAAATGCCACTTATTGCGGAAGAAGGGTTGTACCACTCAATAAGTCTGAATATAGTTTTTCGTACGTGTGAAATTTTTTTTTTTTTTGTACAGCGGCCGCTACTTATTATGTGCCAGAGGCGGATCTATAGTCATTTTTGCTGGGGTCGGGTTTTGCGAATTACTATATTTGTTTGACATGTTCGCAATTAAAGAAACGTTTTTTGAAAGATGTAATATTATATATTACAATGTACATCCTTATTTTCCCCGGTATGTTATTGCATGGCGTTTCTTTATACGTAAATTGGAAATAGAGCCATGAATAATGGTATAGTCATAGTGATCGAACGAAACTTCGTTTTGATTAGGCCAATAGTCAATTGCTAAATATTTATTGATTTATGACACAGACCTTGGTTTAGTTTTGGATACTACCGTAGACCTGCCGAGCGGCTGTAAATATCAAACTTAACCAAAGTTGAAAAAAATAGAGATAAAAAAAAAAAAAAGCTATGTGCTAGCCAAGCTTTCAGGGGTCGGTCTGAGCCATAACAATGCCCCAGCCAACCCCTTAGTTCTCTTCTGGGCTCTCGGGTGTCCCGGCCAATACACACTTCCTTCCCTGTCCATCCATATAACCCCGGAGGGCCAGGCACCATGTAAAAGCAAAGAGCTAAGGGAGGAACAGGGCGGCCCCTAAGCCCTGATCCTCCGAGTGGACCACATGCCCTGAACCTGTACGAAGGCGCCAACCTGGAACTCACGGACAGTACCAGCCGCAGAGCTTACCGATTAAGCTAAGGTACCGTTGGTATTTTACGACGGGAAATTAAACATCTTATAATGACTGAATGGAACGCGTGCGTTGAAAAGCAAAAAGACACCGACGGGATTCGATACCGGGCTCCGCGATTCGTGGACTACGAATCTAACCACTCGGCCATCATGCTTCCTTGGAATTCTCCTCAAAAACAATTTGTCTTAATAATAGGTGGAGAAACTCGGAGCATTGCTGTGTGCATCTGTTTTGGCTCCACGGGCGAACAGAATCGAAGTCGATATTTCGGGCAATAATGAATCAACTGTTTTCATTTGTTTGGAAAATTGTATACGGCAGCCTCATTAGTCGTAGGCCGTGTGCTAAACATGTCTTGTCGTTACGCGACAATGATCACTATTATTATGTAGCCTGAAACAGGTATTAGGGGCGGATCCAGAAATGTTGGCGGACTGGGGGGGGGGGGAGTCAGGCCCGTTAGATGTTTATATCCGATCTTATCATTTTTCATAATTGTATAGCCTATACATTATTCTGTGTGTATCAGAGCATGGAGGAAGGAACACATTGGCGGGGCGGGGTGGGGGGTTCGACCCCGGCTCTGGATCCGCGCCTGACTTCTATTCTTTGTATTTTGGACAGGGACAGATACAGATTCTCAACTCCGCCACTACTATTTTAGCATTGTGCGGACATCTTTAAAAAAGGAAACGATAATTGTTTTGACGGATTTTTTTAAATCAGTTTAAATCAGGCCTGTATTGCGTTCGCTGTTCAGTCTTTCATCAGCCTGTGATCAAACATTATTTTCGTGAAAAATAATGTGAACAGCAAGTTTTCATCCTTAATTCGAAAAATACGAATATTGAAATGCAGACGAAAACAACCCTACACCAGGACACCACATTACACTAGGGGCGCTGTTCGCGATACCGATGCGCATCCTTTATCTGTTTACGATAGGGCTTCGCTCGTACCCGGACCCCCGCCCTGCAAACGGGGCCTAGGGCGCTGGGCCGTTGTCATAATTATGAAAATCGGACTCCTATGAAAATCGGACGCCTTTCCCCAAGTATTGGTTGATCCCTCGCAAGTGAAAGGTCCCTCTCCCGTAATGGTCCTAAAAATAGCATAATAATCGCACTTATGCACATGCGCAATACTACCAATGTATGAGTCCATATTTCATGGAGTCTGCTATTCAGGCTACACCGGGAAGCAGTCTAGGTGCAGGCCAGTAAGTCGGTCCGAAATTGCCTACGCCGGCCAAATCAGGATATGCATGCCCTCAAATTCTTCATTATTTGAGCGTATTGTGGGCCACGAACTTGAGGGTTCCTACAAACCATGAGTGGAAGCCGTGCACTGGAACTTGAGCTTGTATTTCTAGTACAATTTGGATGAAATTTGAGGCCCTAAAAGCGCCCTAGTTTGCAAAGGAGTGTAGGCATCGTTTTTCAAAATGGCGATGGGCTTCAGGACTATTTTAAGGGGTAATCATTCGGAGGAAATTTCTCCCATATGTCATCAGATTACCCTCACTCAACAATTGAAAAGACAAAGAAAGTTGATAAAATAAGCTTTAATTTTCATGTGTGTCTCGAACACCTCAAATGGGGAGAATTAAAAATTGTGAGCATTTTTCCTGACCTTCTGAAGTGGGGGCATTTATCATTGGGGTCTATGGCAGTTCATTGTATGGCCATAGGGGTACACACCGGTAAATCGATCCGCCAAGCTCATGAATAAAAGTTATACCCTCAAAATATTCTATATTAGAGAGTTCTGAGCGCCGTAAAATTGGGGAATTGAAGAGATATGGTAGTGAACCTCTGGCCCGGACTTGGGGCTTCCAATTCTGAGCATTTTGGATGCTATTGGGCTCGAAAGTGGCGCTATTTTGCCATGTTGTGGAGGGATCGTTTTTCAAGATGGCTACTTTTCCGCTTTGGGGAAAATAGGGGTCGTCTTCTTTGCGTGAAAATATCTCGAAAAGTCAATGGTCAACCCACCATAAATTGAAAAGAAATTGAAAGATGACACATTGATCATCATTTTTCTGTGCAGCTTGAATACCTGTGAGAGTTTTGAGTATTTTTAAAAGAATTTTGAAGTACGGGCATTTAGCACTAGTGTCTATGGGAGTTTATTTGCAGGTATGCACCCTATAAAGAATCACAAAGATGGCCGTTTCGCGCATGCGCTGTGCCGCGGCAGTGGTCTTTTCAGTGGGCGGAACCTACGGGGAGGGGGAAAAAGTGTTTTAAAGGTATCAACAAGGGTTTTTTCCGTAACGGATGCTTCCAAATCATAAGGGAGCAGTAGGCTATCACCCGATTACAACAATTGATAGTTGAAAAGGGGGGGGGGGGGCATTTTGAGCTTTAAAGTAGCTGGAACTCAATTTATTGTCGCTGGGGGCGCTCTACAGCTTAGCAGGGGCAAAACAATCACTATTTTCGGGCTTAATATCGACCTCGGATAATATTTTTCTTTCATTTTTTTTTTCAAAATATTGACTTTGGAGATATTCTGCTTGTCCTGAATGTGATTTTGTGTTAAAATTTAAAAGTTGCCTGCTATTATAAAGAATCACAAAGATGGCCGTTTCGCGCATGCGCTGTGCCGCGGCAGTGGTCTTTTCAGTGGGCGGAACCTACGGGGAGGGGGAAAAAGTGTTTTTAAAGGTATCAACAAGGGTTTTTTCCGTAACGGATGCTTCCAAATCATAAGGGAGCAGTAGGCTATCACCCGATTACAACAATTGATAGTTGAAAAGGGGGGGGGGGGGGCATTTTGAGCTTTAAAGTAGCTGGAACTCAATTTATTGTCGCTGGGGGCGCTCTACAGCTTAGCAGGGGCAAAACAATCACTATTTTCGGGCTTAATATCGACCTCGGATAATATTTTTCTTTCATTTTTTTTTTCAAAATATTGACTTTGGAGATA